GGAACACTGACCACAGGGAACTTTGACCACAGGGAACACTGACCACAGGGAACTTTGACCACAGGGAACACTGACCACAGGGAACACTGACCACAGGGAACACTGACCACAGGGAACACTGACCACAGGGAACACTGACCACAGGGAACACTGACCAAAGGGAACACTGACCAGAGAGAACATTGACCACAGGGAACACTGACCACAAAGGGGAAAACTGACCACAGGGAACACTGACCACAGGGAACACTGACCACAGGGTACACTGACAACAGGGAACACTGACCACAGGGAACACTGACCACAGGGAACACTGACCACAGGGAACAATGACCACAGGAAACACTGACCACAGGGAACACTGACCACAGGGAACACTGACCACAGGGAACACTGACCAGAGAGAACATTGACCACAGGGAACAATGACCACAGGGAACTTTGACCACATGGAACACTGACCACAGGGAACACTGACCACAGGGAACTTTGACCACAGGTAACACTGACCACAGGGAACTTTGACCACAGGTAACACTGACCACAGGGAACACTGACCACAGGGAACACTGACCACAGGGAACACTGACCACAGGGAACACTGACCACAGGGAACACTGACCACAGGGAACTTTGACCACAGGGACACTGACCACAGGGAACTTTGACCACAGGGAACACTGACCACAGGGAACACTGACCACAGGGAACTTTGACCACAGGGAACACTGACCACAGGGAACTTTGACCACAGGGAACACTGACCACAGGGAACACTGACCACAGGGAACTTTGACCACAGGGAACACTGACCACAGGGAACACTGACCACAGGGAACACTGACGACAGGGAACACTGACCACAGGGAACACTAACCACAGGGAACACTGCATGTGCCAAATGTTACTAGGTCCCCCCCCCTGGATATAGTACATTAGCCTTGTAAATTTAAAGCCAGTTGGATGAGGCGTTTTATATTATGATCTAATATATTGAAGAAATAAAAGTAGGCAACCACTAATAAGTTAAATATCTATTGTGCACTCCCATACCCATCTTGTGGGTGGTAGCTACACCATACCCATCCTGTGGGTGGTAGTTACACCATACCCATCTTGTGGGTGGTAGCTACACCATACCCATCTTGTGGGTGGTAGTTACACCACACCCATCTTGTGGGTGGTAGTTACACCATACCCATCTTGTGGGTGGTAGTCACACCATACCCATCTTGTGGGTGGTAGTCACACCATACCCATCTTGTGGGTGGTAGTCACACCATACCCATCTTGTGGGTGGTAGTCACACCATACCCATCCTGTGGGTGGTAGTTACACCATACCCATCTTGTGGGTGGTTGTCACACCATACCCATCTTGTGGGTGGTAGTCACACCATACCCATCCTGTGGGTGGTAGTCACACCATACCCATCCTGTGGGTGGTAGTCACACCATACCCATCCTGTGGGTGGTAGTCATACCATATCCATCCTGTGGGTGGTAGTTACACCATACCCATCCTGTGGGTGGTAGTCACACCATACCCATCCTGTGGGTGGTAGTCACACCATACCCAACCTGTGGGTGGTAGTCACACCATACCCATCCTGTGGGTGGTAGTCACACCATACCCATCCTGTGGGTGGTAGTTACACCATACCCATCTTGTGGGTGGTAGTTACACCATACCCATCTTGTGGGTGGTAGTTACACCATACCCATCTTGTGGGTGGTAGTTACACCATACCCATCCTGTGGGTGGTAGTCACACCATACCCATCCTGTGGGTGGTAGTCACACCATACCCATCCTGTGGGTGGTAGTCACACCATACCCATCCTGTGGGTGGTAGTTACACCATACCCATCCTGTGGGTGGTAGTCACACCATACCCATCTTGTGGGTGGTAGTTACACCATACCCATCTTGTGGGTGGTAGTTACACCATACCTATTTTGTGGGTGGTAGTCACACCATACCCATCCTGTGGGTGGTAGTCACACCATACCCATCCTGTGGGTGGTAGTTACACCACACCCATCTTGTGGGTGGTAGTTACACCATACCCATCTTGTGGGTGGTAGTCACACCATACCCGTCCTGTGGGTGGTAGTTACACCCAACCCATCCTGTGGGTGGTGTTACACCAATACCCATCTTGTGGGTGGTAGTCACACCATACCCATCCTGTGGGTGGTAGTTACACCACACCCATCTTGTGGGTGGTAGTTACACCATACCCATCTTGTGGGTGGTAGTCACACCATACTCATCTTGTGGGTGGTAGTTACACCATACCCATCCTGTGGGTGGTAGTCACACCATACCCATCCTGTGGGTGGTAGTTACACCACACCCATCTTGTGGGTGGTAGTTACACCATACCCATCTTGTGGGTGGTAGTTACACCACACCCATCTTGTGGGTGGTAGTTACACCATACCCATCTTGTGGGTGTGTAGTTACAACCACACCATCTTGTGGGTGGTAGTCACACCATACCCATCCTGTGGGTGGTAGTCACACCATACCCATCTTGTGGGTGGTAGTTACACCACACCCATCTTGTGGGTGGTAGTTACACCATACCCATCCTGTGGGTGGTAGTCACACCATACCCATCTTGTGGGTGGTAGTCACACCACAGCCATCTTGTGGGTGGTAGTTACACCATACCCATCCTGAGGGTGGTAGTCACACCATACCCATCCTGTGGGTGGTAGTCACACCATACCCATCTTGTGGGTGGTAGTCACACCATACCTATCCTGTGGGTGGTAGTCACACCATACCCATCTTGTGGGTAGTAGCCACACCATACCCATCCTGTGAGTGGTAGTCACACCATACCTATCCTGTGAGTTGTAGCCACACCATACCCATCCTGTGGGTGGTAGTCACACCATACCCATCCTGTGGGCAGTAGTCACACCATACCTATCCTGTTGGTGGTAGTCACACCATACCTATCCTGTGGGTGGTAGTCACACCATACCTATCCTGTGGGTAGTAGTCACACCATACCCATCCTGTGGGTAGTAGTCACACCATACCTATCCTGTTGGTGGTAGTCACACCATACCCATGCTGTGGGTGGTAGTCAAAAGACTGATCAATAAGACACATGTGGAACAGTTGGGTATCTTTGGTGTTGAAAAGTTTGGCTTACACAGTATGCTTCTGCAGTCAAATATAGAGCCAGGAGCTGTAGTAGTGAAACGAAGATAATGTAATCACTCAACGTTGGAGAAAAAGTATTTGAGGGGGTCAGTAGCTCAGTCTGGAGAAGAGTTCAGCTCTGTGGTCTGGAACTCGTTCCGGACCATACAGCTGAATGTAGCATGTAGAGCTACAACAGATGAGGTATTCAGTTCCTTACTCTTGGAGTTGGTGAAGAGTTTCAGAGTGGTGAAGAGTCTGAGACTCTTCACCACTATGATACTCTTCAAGAGTGAGGGACTGACTACCTCATCTTTCGTATACAGTTCTACATTCTTCGAATTATGTCCTTGAATTTGGACTTATGAAGCCACTGGTTGGCGAAAAGTTTACAGAAAAAGATACCCAGATGTTGTACTTATGTCTAATTCTTTAAAAAGTCTGCACCTAACACTCGACCTATGAGGAGTTTACCTGGAGAGGGTTTCGGGGGTCAACGCCCCCGCGGCTTGGTCTGAGACCAGGCCTCATGGTGGATCAGGGTCTGATCATCCAGGCTGTTACTGCTGGGCGCACGCAAGCTGATGTACGAACCACAGCCGGGTTGGTCAGGAGGCAATAAAAACAATTTTATAGGTACATAATGATTTATTTACAAGAATAAAGTGTTCAGTTCGAGTGGCAAGAGATTAGTTACATAGTGATTACCGTCGTATTAACAGTACACACTGCTGTACCAGTTACCCGTGATGGGTAGTGTCCCCTGCCCTTCACACCACTACTACAGCAACACCTGCACAAGAGGTGTGTGTGTGCTGACTCTAACATTTCATATATTACACAGGTGTTTGCCTGTGTAAGGGGAAGTGTCACCAGATGTTTTAGCAACGTCGACTTTACTGCTACAAATAATTAAAATCACCCTTTCACTTTTATGATGAAATCAGGAAAAATATTTGGAAATAATTAAAAAACTAGTCTGGCAAATATGACAAATCAAAATCTGCATTATATAAATAATTAGTAGGAAAAAACATAAGATATGCACTAAGAAAAGACAGGAATGGTAAAGCAGTACGGAAAAAACTGGAAATATTTCTGAAGAACACAGAGCGAGCTGATGTGATGTAGGTGGCTCAGTAGGTCTTGTAGGACTCGTGACGATTGACTTCCACAAAACATTGATGATGTAAGTGATCTCAGATGGTTAAGACGAAGTGTGGCCAAGAAGTCACAGAGGAGACAGTCAACTGGCATCGGATGGAAAAAGATGTGAGAATAAACGCCTGGACAGGAAGTGGCCGGGTATGCCTGGAGATACCTGGAGAGAGTTTCGGGGGTCAACGTCCCCGAGGCCTGGTCTGAGACTAGGCCACGTGATGGATCAGAATCTGATCAACCAAAAAATTGATCCTTCCACATCCACAAGGCTGGTATGTTCACTGAGCTACGGATGGTAGCTCATGGAATGGACTAATAAAGTGACCAGGAAGTTCCAGTGTGCTCACTCTTCCCACAACCTAGGTGAAGCTTTATCGTCTCATTCCACATGAGCCATGACCAGAAATAAGTAGGTTTCTAGAAAACACTTAGAAAAGTTGCGATTGAAAACAATAATGAAATTAATGAAATTATTACTGGTAACCAAATATAGACACAATGTTCAATACAAGAGAAAAAAAAAGCTGATTACTTTTGCAGAAGTGCAATGAATGTGTTTTTTTTTTGTCTGCCTCATCGTATGTTGTAGTGTTATGTTCAATTTCTTTCAAGTTGATGATACAGGTGTTACAGTTGTTTGTGTCTCCAACTTAAACTAACCTATGCTATCCCCGACAGGTGTGGGTGGACGCCGCTACGCAGATCTTCTTCAGCTTAGGACCCGGCTTCGGGGTCCTCCTCGCCTTCGCCTCCTACAACAAGTTCCACAACAATGTCTACAAGTCAGTGTAGCTCCTCGTGACTGGTCTGCTCAGGTTCAGTAATCTTTAGAGCTGGTCTGTCAGCTCATCTATAACGAGTGAACGATTCATTAACCCTCGCAGATGGTCTGGTTAGACTCATTAATTTTTAAAGCTGGTCTGAACAGTTCCAGGAGCCCTCGGAGCTGGTCTTTTAGTGTAGGAAGCTTAGAATGTGGTTCAATAACTCGTACAGCTGGTCTATTCATGATTGACAGCCAATTTTCATTATCACATCCATAGGGAGCGCTAAACCCATAGGCATCATACAACGCCTGGGGAGACAATCAGGTTCGATCCAAGAAAAGATAAGTCCAGTTTCTTGGGTTTAGAGCCCCCTCACCGGCATCAAGGCACCACCTTCCCTGAGAAATTAGGTCCAGTAGCTCCTTGTACCTTAAGTCAGCTTTAATCATAATGTATTGTTCCCTAGACCTTTGGTCTGGGCAGACAGTCACGCCCGTCTGGTCCAACATTATTTTTTATTAGGAGCACTTTCTTCTTACTCTTTAAATTCGATCGCAATTAATAATTAATTAAACCATTATAACCTGATAATTATGTAAATACCTGTCTCTCATTTTTTCTCCTCCTCCCTCTCTCATGCACTTCTAATTCGCCTAGCTCTATCGTCTCTGTCCTACTTTCTAGCTCTCCTTTCCCTCTCCATTCTCTCTCCCATCCCTCTCGCAATTCTAATCCACCTCTCTCTCATCCCCCCTCCTGTCCTTAGGGATGCCTTGGCCACCAGCCTGATCAACTGCTGCACCAGCTTCGTCTCTGGGTTCGTCATCTTCTCGGTGCTGGGTTACATGAGCCACAAGAGTGGCAAACCCATCAACGAAGTGGTGGACGAAGGTCCCGGTCTGGTCTTCGTGGTCTACCCCGAAGCCATCGCTACCATGCCAGGCTCCACCTTTTGGGCGATCATCTTCTTCATGATGCTACTCACCCTGGGACTAGACTCCTCCGTCAGTAATTCTCTTTTTTCTCTCTTTACATTAATGGCATACGGTACCGACAAGTTAATAAGACACGTGTGTGACACCTGTGGAGATACCTTCGGCTGTTAGCATCTATAGTCTGGCTCCTCTGTATGTGTCCATCCTTTTGTCCCAGCCTCAGATTGATCAACGCTAAGGGACTGATCACCTCTCAAGCCTGAGGGACTGTTTACCTTATCTTCCACTGTCTCCATCACTTATTAAAATAATGCCACTGGTTGGATAAATGTCTTCATAGAAATACCCAGGCGTTGCACATGTGTCTTATTCGTCAATTCTTTCTCTTGAGAAGAATATATATGTGGAAAAACAAGTATTGTGGGAGCTAAACTGTCTCCAGTTGCTACACTGAGAGTACTGGAAACAATGACTTTACCATATCTTTACCAGATCTCGAATAAAGCTCTATAGTGCGACACGTTGTTCCAACGAAAGTTTGTTCTGCAGCGTGCGTCTGTTTCCCCTCCCTCCTTTCTCCTCATCCGTGTTGACTTGCTGTCTTCTCCACAGTTTGGAGGATCAGAGGCTGTCATTACGGCTCTCAGCGATGAGTTTCCCATCATTGGTCGCAACCGCAAGGTCTTCGTTGCTGTCCTCTTCTCCGTTGACTTCTTCGTCGGCCTCGCCTGCTGCACCCAGGTAGGTGGTGGTGGTGTCTGCTGCACCCAGGTAGGGAGTCTTCTGCACCTAGGTAGGTGGTGGTAGTGTCTTCTGCACCTAGGTAGGTGGTGGTGGTGTCTTCTGTTCCCAGGGACGTGGCATCTTGCAAAATACAAGGTACGTAATGCTGGTTTAATAACAACCGTAACATCACAGGGGAAGTTCAATAAGGCCCACTGTCTTTGACGCTAACTTTACTTATCACAAAGGCAGGTTCAGAAGGGTTCACTAACCAATGTTCATCTCCAGGATGGATTCAACACAGTTTAATAATCCATGTTCATCCCGAGGGTGGGGTTCAACAGAGTTCGCCAATCCATGTTCATCCCCACGGTGGGGTTCAACAGGATTCACTAATCCACGTTCATCCCCAGGGTGGGGTTCAACAGGGTTCACTGATCCATGTTCACCCCTAGGGTGGGTTCAACGTAGTTCACTAATCCATGTTCACATCCCCAGGGTAGGTTCAACGTGGTTCACTAATCCATGTTCACACCCCCAGGGTGGGTTCAACATGGTTCACTAATCCATGTTCACCTTCAGGGTGGGTTCTTCGTCTTCTCCGTGTTGGATCGCTACGCCGCTGGCTACTCCATACTCTTCGCCGTGTTCTGCGAGGCCATCGCTGTCTCCTGGATATACGGTTAGTGCCTGTCCACTCCTGTCATTCTTGTGTTTATAAAGAAGTTGAGAGAGAGAGAGAGAGAGAGAGAGAGAGAGAGAGAGAGAGAGAGAGAGAGAGAGAGAGAGAGAGAGAGAGAGAGAGAGAGAGAGAGAGAGAGAGGCACTTACATGAAAAGCGTGATTTTTTTTACAAAATTAAAACAAAACCTCATATTTGGAACTTACCTCTCGGTGACAAAAAAAAAAATTGAATTTTTTTATGAACACGTCGGCGGTGTCCCACTGAAGCAGGGTGACCCGGGAAAGAGGAAACACTTTCATCAAAACTTATTCCATTACTGTCTTGCCAGAGGCGTGCCCACACCGCAGTTCAGAGCGCAGGACCTATACTTTCCTCCTCCAGGACTCAAGTCCGGCCAACCGGTTTCCTGAATCCCTTCATAAATGTTACTTTCCTCATATATGAATTGTTTTAATTTTTTGACGAGTACTGGTAAGCCAGCACAAGAGGTCCAGTTAGTCGGTTATAATAAAAGAAGACCCGTGTTAGGGCACCTGTCATCGGCAGAGTACACAGCTTTAAGAGTGGGAGAGGCAGAAGATCATGGGAGAGGAAAATATCACCCTGGATCTATTCGTCCTCTTCCTCGGATCAGACTTGACTGCCTAACATTCTCCTGTTGCTATTTTAGCTTTACGGGGTTAGCGTAATGATAATAATAATAATAATAATAATAATAATAATAATAATAATAATAAATCACAATAATATAATAATAATAATAATAATAATAACAATATTAACAATAACAATAATAATAAATAATATAACTAATAATAATAATAATAATAATAACAATAATAATAATAATAATAATAATAATAATAATAATAATAATAATAACAATAATAACAATAAAATAATAATAATAACAATTAAAAATAACAATAACAATAATAATAATAATAATAATAATAATATTTAAAAATAACAAAATATATATAATAATAATAATAATAATAAATAAAATAATAATAATAATATAAAAATAATAACAATAATAACAATAATAATACATATAACAATTATAATAACAATAACAATAATAATCATAATAAAAATAATATAATAATATAATAACAATAACAATAATAAAAATAATAACAATAATAATCAAATAATATCATAATATAACAATACAAAATAATAAAATAATAATAATAAAATAATAAAAATATAATAAAACAATAAAATTAACAATAAATAATAATAAATAATAAAATAAATATAATAATAATAACACATAATAATAATAATAATAATAATAATAATAAAAATAGCAACTATAAAATAATAATAAATAAACTAATAATAATAAAAATAAAATAATAACCATAATAAAATAATAATAATGAAACAATAATATAATAATAATAATAATAATAACAATCCATCGCCCAAGACATATTAACTTAGCAACAAAACACAGGCTGGCAAATAATAACAATAATAATAATAATAATAATAATAATAATAATAATAATAATAACAATCCATCGCCCAAGGCACATATTAACTTAGCAACATACACAAGGCTGGCAAATAAAAGTCCTCTTGCAAGACCCTGAGTTTCAACAATGAATTATATGAACAATGAATATTTCAAATGCAGTTAGAAATTGAAGACCAATAGATATAATTTTTAGAAAGTTTATTCATGTGGAAAAACACTTTCTTTTGGATGCGTAATAAAACATCCGGAACCACATAAATATTTTATCATAGGCGACAGTTAAAACAAAAAATAAAAATTTACAATGTTCATTTTATTCTTGAATACAAACATTGAGGCGTAAAAAAAATAAAAAAAAAAAGACATAAAACATAAAATAAAAGCAAATTCGATTTAAGTGTTTGGAATACACAAGTTGAGGAAGCAATGGAGTCCAACTCCATACATGGGGGATGGGGTTCAAGTGTAAATATAAATGCAAATATTACTCTGTTACGAGATGGGGACCAGGAGCTGCAGCTCACATCTACTACAACACACGAATATATATGAAAAACAGAATTTAACAGAAAAAATGTCAATTGCGATAAAAAATACAGTAGAACCTAGAAGAAGTATATTTTAAGGAGGCACAAAGAGAGAGAGAGAGAGAGAGAGAGAGAGAGAGAGAGAGCAGAGAGAGAGAGAGAGAGAGAGAGAGGAGAGAGAGAGAGAGAGAGAGAGAGGAGAGAGAGAGAGAGAGACGAGAGAGAGAGAGAGAGAGAGAGAGAGAGAGAGGTTGGGGAGTTAGGGAGAAAATGATGACACTCTTACAATGGCACTATGGGGGGCGTGAGGGGATTGAGAGGGGAGGTGAGGGGTGGGGGGTCGATATGTGGCAGACAGGGCACCAGCCCTCCTTCCACTTCCAATGTTCTTCCTGGCATTGTGAGGGAACAGCGGGAAGGAAGTCTGTGGCTATGGAAGGGAGGACCAAAGTCTGACATAATGCAGAGGAAGCAAGTCTTACCCCGTGAGAGAAGGAAGAAAGTCTTATCTGTGAGAGAAGGAAGAAAGTCTTACCTGTGAGAGAAGGAAGAAAGTCTTACCTGTGAGAGGAGGAAGAAAGTCTTATCTGTGAGAGAAGGAAGAAAGTCTTACCTGTGAGAGAAGGAAGAAAGTCTTACCTGTGAGAGAAGGAAGAAAGTCTTATCTGTGAGAGGAGGAAGAAAGTCTTACCCGTGAGAGAAGGAAGAAAGTCTTACCTGTGAGAGGAGGAAGAAAGTCTTATCTGTGAGAGAAGGAAGAAAGTCTTACCTGTGAGAGAAGGAAGAAAGTCTTATCTGTGAGAGAAGAAAGAAAGTCTTACCTGTGAGAGAAGGAAGAAAGTCTTACCTTTGAGAGAAGGAAGAAAGTCTTACCTGCGAGAGATGAAAGAAAGTCTTACCTGTGAGAGAAGGAAGAAAGTCTTATCTGTGAGAGAAGGAAGAAAGTCTTATCTGTGAGAGAAGGGAGAAAGTCTTATCTGTGAGAGAATTAAGAAAGTCTTACCTGTGAGAGAAGGAAGAAAGTCTTATCTGTGAGAGAAGGGAGAAAGTCTTATCTGTGAGAGAATTAAGAAAGTCTTACCTGTGAGAGAAGGAAGAAAGTCTTATCTGTGAGAGAAGGAAGAAAGTCTTACCTGGGAGAGAAGAAAGTCTTATTTGTGAGAGAAGGAAGAAAGTCTTATCTGTGAGAGAAGGGAGAAAGTCTTATCTGTGAGAGAATTAAGAAAGTCTTACCTGTGAGAGAAGGAAGAAAGTCTCATCTGTGAGAGAAGGAAGAAAGTCTCATCTGTGAGAGAAGGAAGAAAGTCTTACCTGTGAGAGAAGGAAGAAAGTCTTACCTGTGAGAGAAGGAAGAAAGTCTTACCTGTGAGAGAAGGAAGAAAGTCTTACCTGTGAGAGAAGGAAGAAAGTCTTACCTGTGAGAGAAGGAAGAAAGTCTTACCTGTGAGAGAAGGAAGAAAGTCTTACCTGTGAGAGAAGGAAGAAGCATGTTTGCCATTAGACGGGAAAAGGATAAAAAAAAATCCTGGGAGGGGAAAAGAAAGT